TGTATGTATAGGTATATACATATAAGTAAAAAATAAAAATGGAAATAGAAATAGAAATATAAAAAGAGCCTAAGAGATATAATAAGATAATAAGAGCCTATATACAAAGTAAATGTAAACATATTCCAAAGTACGTGCTGACAGAATTTAAATAGTAATGAGTTTTAAGATTGTGGTGTTGCAGAAGTTATAGATAATTACAAAAAATGACATGATAATCAAATGTATTGCACATTGACCCGGGTATTGCACCTTAATCGACTTAAAATAAATGAAGTTTCACCGAATGGAAAGTTTCCCTGCTACTTTAAAGAGAGACATAACATTGTATTTTGTAATTCATGGCAACCAGTCTTAGCTCATCTTTTTGGGTTTGTCACTCTGGGGTAAAACAATCTCCCAGTGAAATACCAGCTCACAAAATTAAATCACATTAAATTAGCACAGCCCCTGAAGTCCCCATGTTGCCTGAGTGGCAATTACTTTGTGGTAATTTTATTAATTACAAATGTGTTTGCCAATATGGAGCACAAGTAGTATAATTAAAAACTGGAATTGTAAGGGCCCAAAGCCTCCTGAATTTTTAATCCAATCTTGAGGGTTTTATATTGTGGAAGGACACAGCCAGAAAATCTAGTTTTAACGTTTTTAATATTTCAGCTGAAATTATGTTTATGCTGTGTGTGTTATATTCCTGTTTAATCATCACAAACACACAGCAAACCTGCATGTGTACACGTCTCTGCAGTACTGTGTGTGTATGTATAATATGTACTATCATAACTGAATAGTTCTATTACTGCATATACTGTATAAATATAAATACAATAAGTCTTTTTGATTTTGTGTGTTGAGGATACTGTCATATTTTGTTATGTTCAAATTTATATGGATAAAAGGGCTCTTTTATTGAATTACATCATATAAGTATTCTTGTTATTTTGCCCTCCTCCTCCTGTACCTACAGAACTGTGGTCATTGGAATTGGTTCAGTCCAGTTTCAACACAGCAAAAATATAAAGACACTGAGGAGGGCAAATATTTAGTGTTTGCTAAAGGAAATCCAAATTTCATGGAATAATCTGCAAAATCACCTAAAAATGAAAGCCCATTCACGACTGGCTCTACCTGCCCGTATCTAGTTTGTGGTCTGTTGTTCTGCTCTCCTAACGACTCAACATTTTACTGTCCTTTTGTTTGTTTTTGTACTTTAACAGTTAACAGAGTCGTAACCCTGTATTAATAAAGGTTAAAGAAACCAGCTCAAGACCACAGAGACACAAACCTATAGCATCCAAACACAGTGTACACTAGTATCGATACATCACATCCATTAACACTTAATCTGGATGTGCTTTAATTAATCAATTAAAAACACACTCTTGGGGCATCTGGCCCATAGTGAGATGTTAGGGCTAAAATCAGCTCACTCTTGTATCACTCTGTATTTAGACCTAATAAGAGACATAATGCCTTGTTACAACACACACAAGATGTGTTGACTAAAATGTTCAGCATGCATTGGGTTTATTTTACAGTCTAATAAACATTAGTTTCTGTATATATACACACACACGTTTGTAATTGGCAAATCTACAATTTCCCCCCGATACATGAATCTTTCACTGCTGCGTCTGTTTAAGTTCACTGCTGAGATAAAAATAGCAGTTAAATGTTTCTCTGGATGGCATTGTCTTAACAGGAGCTCACTTCTGTAACAGAATACTCTCTCCCTGCCGTCCTGAGAATACCACTGGGATTACTGTCCTCCGTATACGAGCACACAGCAGTCTGAAGAGCAGAGCAGGTTATGAAACTGTAAATAAAAAGGAAGGTTTTCTTTGGAAAGTCTTGAGATAAACCTCATCAGGACAAAACAAGACACAACTCACAAAACCAGTCTCTAAACTGTTTATTATAATGTTTCCTTGCAGCCTTCTCACCCTTCTACCCATCGGCCATGACACAATATGATTAACATGTAATGCACACTTCTCTCCTGGCATAAAGCAGCCACTGGGAGAGCGGATCATGCACGTCTACAGGGAGTTAAAAGCCACAGAACATCATAATTACACAAAAAGAGACATTGATATTAAAAAGACAAATAAATCTGATTGACAAGAGCTGTGACACTGTTTACAAAAAAAAGTTCGTAAACTTTTCAAGTAAAAAGGCGTGGACTGGCGGTCCACCTCAAGATGTAATTGTCAGTCTTTACAGCTTGAGCACTTGGTGTTGAAATTAGTATGCACACAGGCTGTTCTCAGTGGACTTAACTCTTTTCAGTGCAGTACAGTGTATGTGTCAACCTGTCCCTTTTCTTCTTGACAAAATATACCCAAAGAAATAAAGGCAAAAAAAGGAGGGAATGACGTCATTACACGAATACTTTGAATAAGAAGGGGAAGAGGACTAAGTGCTGAGGTGAGGGATGATGGAACTGGATCTGGTCTCGCTGCAGCCGCTGGGAGTTTTTTTATACCTTGGCGTTAATGATTTCGATAAACTCTGGCTTGAGGGAGGCTCCGCCCACGAGGAAACCGTCAACGTCCTTCTGGGAGGCGAGCTCTTTGCAGGTACCACCAGTCACAGAACCTGAGAAGAAGAACAGATTCATGAGAAGAAAATATAAAAAGATAATAAAAATAAGAATAGATAAACTTTATCTCGTCACACTGACTGACCTCCGTAGATGATCCTCACAGAGTTGGCTACAGCCTCAGACACGTTGGCCTTCAGCCACACCCTCAGTTTGTCATGAACTTCCTGAGCCTGAGATATCACACACACACACATATATTATGATGGGTCCTAAGGAGAGATTGTCTTAATCATTCTCATTGATTACTTATATTTACCTGCTGTGGGGAAGCGGTCTTGCCGGTGCCAATGGCCCACACAGGCTCGTAAGCAAGCACGACCTTGCTCCAGTCCTTTACATTGTCTGTGAACGAGACGTGTGATAAGGCTCAAATAAAAGTATTTCGCAAGTTTTCTGATTCCCGCCACAGTCTAGCTTCCACAAACAGTCCCTGAAATCAGTGTTACAACATTCAGACTTTCTCCTGTGCTATAAAACTCTACGACAGGATTGTCAGGAGTTGCGTACCTGCGATGACCTTGGTTTGAGCAAAGACGACCTTCTCGGTGATGCCGCCCTCCCGCTCGTCCAGCTTCTCACCGATGCAGGCGATGACACCAAGACCGCTCTCCAGAGCGTGGGCCGTCTTCTGGCCAATGAGCTAACACAACACACACACACGTATGAAATCACAAAGTGCACACAGGAGGAATTTCTTGGTGGTGGGTTTTTGTGTTTCCTACTCATTTAAAAGGGTGCAACTGTTATCATTTAACACTCAACTTCGGTACAGACCATAATAAAATGGTGATAAAATTACAAGATCATCCAGAATTACCTCATCACTCTCTCCGAAGACGTGGCGCCTCTCAGAGTGTCCGAGGATCACCCAGTTCACACCACAGTCCTTGATCATCGCAGGGCTGCAGACATAAAGATTCATACTGTTTTAATACTGTGATATTTGTGATATAACTTAATCACTGGGAGGATTTTGCAAGCGACTTTAGAGCTATTTTTTATTACCAAACCAGTTATTTTTCATGTCGTACCTGATCTCCCCAGTGAAGGCACCCTTGGGAACTTTGTAGCAGTTCTGAGCAGCCACGCCGAACTTGGCATCCAGCTTGGACCTGGCAAAGTCCAGGTAGATTGATGGAGCACCGCAGACCACCTCTATTAACACAGAAGAAGACAACGCTGAGTTTGTGTCTTTCATGTTTTAGGACTTAGAGATACTCATAAAGGCAAATATGAAGACATTTCTGAGCAGCTTTCTTAATATTCAGTCATCCCACGTGCTTGGGGTGGGTCCAGGCCTCCAGGCCTCGCTTTAAGACACTTCAACAGTCTGCCAAATGTGGGCTTTAACAGCGGTCTGCTGGTTAAAAGGACAGCCTGTATAACCGATGGACAACCTTCACAAACTGCTGCCAAGTACAAGACATTTACACTTTTTCCCCCCCACATCATTACAGCCCTGAGGGACTAAAGGGACAAATGAAATCTATAATCCAGATCTATACAAAAAGGGTCAAAAGCCACTAAATTCAAAACACATGACTGGAAACTGCCATCACTCTCAGACTGACTGACATCAATGTGTATTCAGATGCTGTTAAAAGCTTCTTCACATCAGTAATACTTGTTGCAGCAGCACTAAAATCAAACACACAAACACCAGACGTCTTCTTCCAGCCAAATAGATCAATATACTTGTTGTGTTCTACGGCTACGATACAAGTGACAGATTATATTATTAAACTTGTGTAAATTGTGTAACATTTTAAAAACTGATATGTATTACAAAACACAAAGTGTTTGCCCTGATGTGCAAACAAGGTTTTCTACAGCAGTACAGTCTGCGGGGGTCAAACAGGGTGCAACTACAGTCAAGACACTGACATTCAAAATGTAACTATATCTTGGGGTTACCGAGTCTATATTAAAGGCCTCCTGTTATTATTGGTTTGGTAAAAGGTCATTTCTCCCCGGCCACAGTCAAGCCTCTCTGCATTAAAGGTCTGAGTTCAGCCTCCTAAAGGTCGCCTACATGGCCGCATTCTGCAGAGGTCAGAGTGAAAGTCATGAGACTGAGTTCAGAAAGGGTCAAATAAAAGAAGTTTAAATATATAGCATGTGAAGAAAATCAGTCCGGGAGAAGGAAGCGGCTGAACTTTGACTTTAAAAAGCTGCACAGAGAGGGCCGGTGGGAAAACTCAGCTTGAGTTTCACTGTAAGGGGGCGGATTCAATAATGGAGCAAAGTCCAAGGATAGTATGAACTACTGGAGAGAGTGACAGTCTGCTCCTGAGCAGATCAGGCACTGAGTCTGGCACACACACACACACA